AGCTACCAAACTGATTTGTTGAGCCTGTTACCCACAGGGGAGATTTCCCTATATATATGCTGTCTGGAAAATCGTAGACCCACAGGTAGTTTTCTCTGACGCTATGATTCCATTGTTAATCTGTCTCTGACTCTTTTTTTTATGATAGAGATGGACTCGTTGTGTCATATTAAGAAAAAAAAAAAAGCTCCCGTGAGTACCAATTCTTCGACGTTAGCACCGTTGACGAGGGAAAGGGACGGCTGGACCCTTCTCGCGATAAAAATAAAATTCAGCACGCACCGCAGGAGGAAGGTGNAAACGCGCCTTTGCGCCTTCTGCCGATAAGAACCACCGGAAACCCTGGAACCGGTTCGGCGAAAAAAGTTACTATTCGGTAAAAAAAGTTACGTATTTTTTCGGTCTGATAATAATACGACTCCTGTGGGTATATCTCGAATGGGTAGTCTTTCTGTGCGTGTATTTATTTCTCCTTAATACCCCTAAACTGTCCACAACTCTCGCACAGTGTGGTGCTCGAGGGCGATGTGTGGCGAAGTATGTAGCGTGGGGGCAAAAAACAGAAAATAGATAAACGGACGTCGATTTTTTTCTGTCTTGCGTGAGACTGATGCGCGAATGAGAGACCCATTTGCAGCTGTTCATGTTTTCGTCTTTTGTAGCCCGTGCAATGTTCGCTAGGAGAATTAAACTAGTACGCGATAGGCTTAAATTCGCTCCGAACCCTTTGATATATACATATGTACTTCGTGTGAAGCAGGTTGTCGTGTTTCGACGACTCCGCGGGCTCTTCGGCCCGAAGAGCAAACGTGCCGCCCAAGCAACATTCGGGCCAAACCTCGTCACGACGACAGGATAAAAAATGGGACTTTTGGAACATCAAAGAAATGAACGGAATGTTTCACGGATTCCAGTGTATTTTCCGCACGCAGCAGAACTGCGGGAAACAAGTGACAGAAAAAATAACGAAAACGAGACCACGCCAAGAACTAAGGCTCCACAAGACATTTTGAAGGATACTGTAGCCAGTCTTCACACCCAGCATTGTATCCAACATTGCTTGTCACGCAGCGTGGCATTGGATGTCGGTGGCATGGAGCAAATGAGAGTACCAATGTATGGGATATCGCGATTAAGCCCCCTCTCGTATTCACGAACTCTTCAAGCATGTGCATTGCTTGTTGCATATCTGATTTAAGGAAATAAAAAAAACAGAAAAACTATCCGTTCGAGGTAAACCCACAGTCGAACGGGATGTGTTGGAGTATTTTCAGTGAGTGGAGAAAAACCGGCTGGACACTGGACCTATTTCCAGTCTGTTCTAAGCCTATACTCTGATTATCTATATCAGTGATATCAGCTGGTGCTAAGTACACGCATAAATTTACATTGACCCAGAAAATGACCTCCCCGCAGTCACACGCGTTGCACACAACATACGACATGGCCAGTAGTGAAAAAGGTCTAGAGAAACCGTGCGATCGATCGAATGCGAGAAGAAAAAGACGCAACCGAATGAAGGCATAATGCGTGTCCGAAAAACACACCAACGAAGAGCCTCACCGCAGATACGCCGACATTTCAGCAAGTACTTGAACGTCGTTCAAACCACAACCTTTATACACCATCAGGAACGGTACCCTGCGGGCCAATTGCTTCGAATTTGAAACCTAAGTGTAACGCTTTGCGCCGGCGTAAACTGAGCCCCCGAAAGCAAGGACTTCCACGACCAACACGAATAGATCGGTGTTCCGCACGCGACACAAACCCGTGAGCACCGTACACTTGGTGTTAACCAACAACCAAATTTTGCCGTGCAGGATACCGCATGGCGCGTGCCGGGTTTTTGTCAACGCCGATTTCGTGCACGGCGCGCCCCGAACACAGGAAACCGTCGGCCTTAACGGAAACATTGACCAATGAAAAAGTTACTGCAGGGTTGTACGCACGATCTCCGCGAGGAGGCCATCGGAGGAGCCGCCTCCTCGGTGCCCGGCAATTTCCATCGCCCTCTCTGCGCTGACATTTTCGTCCCTAATGGCAATGAAGGCCTTTAGGTAACGGAGGCCGCACGAGAAGTGGTAGTCCAAGAAGGTGGCGAGGATTGGCTTGATGTTCTTCGCCTCTCCGAACTCTGCCGTTGTCTTGTACCGCACCTCCCCGTCGTTCATGTCAAGGTCGACGCTTCCCACAGCCACCTGCTCGCGCGCCATGTCAATTTTCTGATGAGAGGAGAGTTTGCTTGTCGAAGAGAGAGAGGGAGAGGGGGAGAGAGAAGATCGCCGTTTGTTGTGTGCGGCAGAGTTCCGATTTTAGTTGCAACTTTGGCATTGTTTCTGGGAAAACGGGATCCGCTTTTGTTCTCTTCCTTTGGACCTCTCCGTTGAGAAAAGAACGCAGAGGGTTACCGTAAGTAGCGAGTAAGGCCGCGAGTGCGTACTAAGAGGGCTACGGCAGGATAGCAGTGGTCGGTCAACGCACGCGGCCACGAAGCAGTGTCGTTTTCCCGCCCAACCTTCCCTTTTCTTTCGAAGTTGGGGGAAAGGAATCGCGGGTCCCATAGAAGTTTCTAGGCTACATGTAATTGCCATAATTGTCGGGTTGTTATTGGTTGTGTTGATGGGGCGAACAGTGACAAAACACCGTGTGGAATGTAAACTTTTGCACACAGTTTACAGGTTGCATTGCCACGAAAATCGTGCACACAAGACAACATGCCGATGCTGCCATATACACATAAGTCTTTGCTCCCGGCACGCACGTACCTCCCAGTTGAGGAGCGTGACAAAAAGGAGCGTTTGCGCCAACTTACTCGAGGGCATTGTCTTCCATTCAGGCTGCGAAAGTATGTGTACCTGAAAGCAACAGTAAAAAAGTGGGGAGAGCATTGCCGTTATACAAAGTCGTGTCATGAAACCAAGCGGCCAGAGCACCATGCGTCTGAAATCTCTTGCAGTGGTACGCCACGTGTCCACGAATATCATTGACGAAAGGTTCAAATCGTATCGTGCCACGAAAGAAGAAAGACCAATCCAACACATACATAAAACATGGACTATCGATAGTCGGGTCATCCCCCCTTGCGAATCACGTGGAATTTGCGGAATCAAAAGCGGTCAAAAACGTACACTAAAGTTCGAGGACGTTCTCCTTTGATACCTTGGGAAACATGGCTATTGGTCTTCGAACGAAGACTTGTTGGTCAATGGTCCGTATAGTTGATTGTGGGTGTCGACCAGCAAGCAGCGAGACAAGTGGTCGACCAGGTCTTTTTGGCATACTCGTGAGCCACACGTTTTGTGACGCACCGGTACGCGCTGAGGGTTGAGCGAGATGATACAACCTACTGGCGCGTGAGAAACACTTGCTTCTGCTCGTTCCGACTTGGGGCATGTGATCCGACTTGGGGCATGTGATGAACTCACAGGAGATACAAACCGCCCGTGACGTTTACACAAACTGAGCTTGTGCTTACACATGAGCTCTTTCCTCTCGCGAGAAAGTAGACATTTCTTGAATTCCATGTTCAGTAATACCCCAAGGCTCGTCTCAGTTGCATCTCGATAGTCTGTACGTATCGAGGCATCATGATCATGCTTACGACGGAAGGATGCGTCGCTATACATTCCTCACATCACCGCGGGCAGTTTGACGAGTAGCTCGCCGACAGCCCCAAGTGCTACATGCATGGGGGGCACGAAGCATATCCCACCATCCCCTCTCCCCCTTAAGCGCGAGGTAACGCAATGCACATGGTATCGTTGAGAGGGGCATCGGCGGAGGCAGCACTGGCCCCTTTCTCCGTACCATGTTTCCTTTCTGGTTGATGTTCACATTGAAGTGCGCGTTCCAGCCACCGACACCAACATCGAACACCAGGGTCTCCCAGTCGCTGTTCCCGCGCCCAACTCGCCGCGCGAAGTTCGCGATACCCTGCGGAAAACAAGACAGACAAAAGAACGCAGCCCGAGCAAAACAAAACAAAACACGTGGCAAAAACAAAATGAACAACTGGGACAACAACGCATCGCGCTGATACATGGCAAGTTTGCCGGCGTATCCCGGGCGAGTGTCGCAGGTGTGACCGACCGTGTAACCGCTATCCTACGGGGGGCGAACGTTCTCGGTATACTCCGGCCAAGAACCGGAGTTCAGTGGCTTGAGCATCATACCTGAAGTCGGCACGTCCAACCTCGGCTGTTTTCGACCCATATTCTGTACGAAGGTTTCCATCAACTGAACGAATTGTCGACGGGATGACTCATTTTACGATTGATTGTAAAACCCCGTTGTGTGTGGTCAGGTGATGTTTGCTTCTCAACTCCTGGTTTTCCCCAGGAACTAGGAAAACTAGGAAATCACGCCATTTGACTAGAAGTTTTATTACATGAGTGCGTTTTGGTCTTCTCAGGCGCCCGCGTCACGGCTGGGTGCCTTTTGACCCTCAGATGATACAATAGTTGTTCGGATTTTGTCGTTGTGGGTGGTTTCTTTCACGTCAAGCTCCCGACAACCCAGCAGACAAAAACATGAATTCGGTGCTCAAGGATAGCATTGGGTTTGACAATGACACATGAAAGTGTTAATCCCCAACTCGCTCCTCCTGCAGAACGGCCGTTCAAAAAGAATCAAACCCACAAAGCTGGTTCATGACTGTACAATGCTTTGGGGCGCTAGTGACCGACACTGACCAGCTTGCGACCCTACCCCTAGCCACACAAATGCTCCTACAGCAGTTAACGAGCGCTCTTGCGCTCTATGTAACATGCTGTGTCTCGCTTAAGCGCAAAGCAGTCGCGACTCTCCAGTCTACCGAAGTACCCCCCACCCGCCTCTCACCTTGCTTCTCAGCACTGCATCGTACGGAGACACGTGATGCCAAAGGACGGAGATGCCGGTTGAATCCGGTGTTTTTTGGCCAAATTTGAGTGATGCACGGCAGGGCGAAAGAGAGCACGCGACGCATCATTTGGTTGGAGAAATCAACGAGCGAGAAAGTTTACATCACACAGGCATGAAGGGGGTTTTGAAATCATGTGCTCGAGAAAATATGTTGTGATACTCGCCACGTGGGGCAGAGGCAGATCACTCCCCCGAGACTGCAGCCAGCGGGGTGGGTACGAAAAAGGATGTCGTTACGGTTCAAAGTGATCGGGTGTTTAAATGATTCTTCCTTGTCTCTGGCATCGTGGTTGCTACGCCAACAGCTCATGATGCGGCTAAATCATGTGAGGCGCCTGTCGCCCCTTCGCCCGTGTACAGCAACCCATGACTTTCCATTCGTGTTGTATTTCGTACGCGATCTATAGTTCATCACTTGAAACAAGATCTTTGCTATATTGTCCAGGCGATCGAGGTTTAGAATCCATCAGTGCCCAAAAGCAACACAATTGAATAATACTTGGAACATGAGTGATACATGGGATCGCACACGCACGCAACAAAAGCCCCGAAGTCGTCGGTAGATACGAGTGCGCGGGAGGTTAGCAAGCGTAAGCAAGAAGACCTCGTGGCGAGACATTTTATTATGTTTGCAGTCAGCTTTCCTTTTTCTCTCTCTCTTTCTTTTGTTTTGATCGTTCCCGTTCCTACAGTGGCTCCTTTTTCCTGTCCTTTTCCTACTCCTTTGCCCCTTTGCCCCTTTTACTGTTTCTGCCTTTTTCTTCTTCGTCGATTCTTTTTTCTGCATGTCTCTTTTCTCTGGGCCCTTTCCCAAGCTTTTCATACTGATTGGCATTCGTTTCTAGTTTTCAACTCGATAATTCTGCGTGTTTGTTATGGGATTTGAATGTGTAGGAAACATGTTGGTATCTTGACCAAGCTTGGCCACCACAGCAAATTGCCCTTCTTCCATTTGGTAATGTTTGAGTAGGCCTCTTGTATTTCTTCTTCTCATACACTAGTATATCGCACCATAAGTGCGTGGTTCATGACCACGGGCTAGATTTTCCGATGGGCCATCATAGGAGTGCGAGAACCAACAAACAGCAACATGTCGTCATCGTCCACCTGTTATGTTTGCACCCCAAAACCATTTGCGGACCGAAAAAAAAATAGTTCCTTCCCCGGAAGACTCTCACAGCGCCTGTCATCATACTGCTGTACGTATCAGAGAGTCATGAGGGTAGCACACCTACCCTGAATCATCGGAGAGGACGATCGGCTAACTGCTGTACCTACAGGTAAGTACAGGTTATGTGTAGGTATTGTGAGAGGGTTACGAGGGTACTGCGCTGTACGATATCAAAACCACGGGCGCGATCGGCCGCTCAGACAGATACGAATGCCAGGACCGTTCCCAGGAAATTTCTTGGGAGAATGAGAATTTCCGCTGATGGTCTACAGAAGTACCGTATGCGACAGCAGTAGTCTAGGCCTCGGCTCGACAATTGGTTGAGTCGTTTGCTTCACGCTGTATCGAAGACTTCGACTTGACCAATAATCGGTGTACGCATCCTTGTCCTCCCAGTGTTCCTCTAGGTGTCAGAAGGTTCCCAGTCAGACTTGCGTTGTAGACAAGGCGATCGGCCGTGTAGAGGTCAGACTCGTTTACAGATGGCGCCCGCACTTTAGAACACACCTGTTAAGAACATGGGGCTCAAAAAATCCAAAACTTAAGAACTCGTCCATAAGAACAGGTGCTCAGTTTTTACGTGACACAAGAACAAGAACCCGTATCGAGGTGTCCAAACTCGAGGTCAAGATAAGAACGGTGTCCATTGCAGATCTTCGCTGGAAGACACGAACTCGGCGGGTAGCGTCACCCCCTCCCTCCCCCCTCCCAGTATTTTTTCCCACAACATAGGGCGGGTACCGAAAAATTAGCGAACCAGGAGGGTGTGTGTGTGGGATGTCGCTGTGCCCCCTTCGCTTCTGCGGCCCTCGGGTTTCCTCGGGTGCGTACGCAACAGGCCCTGTGTCTGCACGAAGGGCGAGCATGTCGCTGCCCTTGGCGACGTTGATGGAGCTCCAGAAGCTCGCAGCACTCAAAGCAGTGATTCTTAAACGACAGTGCGAGGTGATCCAAGAAACATGTGAGGGAGGGCAACTCCCCCTCGAGCGAAGACTGAGGCCTTCGGTTTCGGTTGGGACCTGAGGAGCAGCGGCGTGTTCTCCGAAGAAGAGTGGACCACGCAGGTTGATGGAGACATCTCGGGCATCATCACCAGCGCTCGCGCTACATTGTCTTCAGACGACGCTGCCGCGTCGTCTGTATCCGGAAAGCAATTCTAGCGACGAAGACACTCGTGGTAAGTTGGATGCCCACCAGGGTTTTTCACTCCCCTGCTTGGTTGTTGTTGCGTTTCCTGTTGCTGTTGCTTTCGCCCTTGCCGTTGCCGTTAAACATATGTTTGCGTAGATAACACATCAGTTTCTGCGACATTGTCGTTTGTGCCCGTCGTTGCAGAGACGGCCAGTGGCTAGATGGACGAGCTGAGTCTTGTGGACGACGACGACAGCATGGGATCGGACGACGAGATTCACGCCATGGAGATTCCGGATAGGTTTCGCATTCAAGCACCCACACCGGCTGCTCTTGACAGCTCGTTACTGCAGCGTGGAGTACTCGTTAGGCTGGGCAGGGGGTGGTTTGGGGGGGTGATCACTCGACAGTCCCAGGAGCGCACTTGCCAACTTTACGACTACCGTGTGCATCTCGACCTAGACCAAGGTACGCGCAGCATGAAGCTGCCGTTGGAAATGTACAGAGGAGATCCGGATGCGGTGGTGGGCTCGTGGATCTTGCTTGAGAGGAGCACGGTCGAGCAGGTGGGTGGGGGCGGAGCTGCAGCCACGTTGGGCGTTGGTAGAGCGGGAAGGGAACGCAGGCCGAACGTGATCCCTATCGACCAAGGAGGTTGAAGCCTTCGGAGTTTGATTTCATATTTGTACTCAACCGCGAGCATAGCTGCTGCGGTGCGTGATCCGGTCTAAGCCTGTTGTACAAGCATGCGGCCAAGTCGACGGCCAGTAATCTTGGTGCCTGGTGAATTGACAGTATGGGCATGGTACGGCGAAGTATGGGCGTGCTGTATGGGGATGATGCATTTTATATTTCCGCATGAAAATACACTCACCCTCAACAGTGCTGGTTCATCCCCCCGCGCGCACACACACAGCACACACACACAGACAACCAGGAAGAGGACAGACTCTAGACAGAGGAGTAGGGTACAGGTTCTGCTGCAGACCAGAACAGTTCTACGCAGGGGCGTACCATGCCATGTGCGGAAGGTGAACTGTGCGCTTCAACAGGATAAGACACCGCAGGCCCCACACGGCCACCCTTGCAAGGGAGGATGTGGCGGGCGGCTCCACGGCAATTAATTGCGGCAGCATGTTTGGCGACAACGAACAGCACCGCATCTGCAGTGCGTGCGTCGCCAAGGACGGCAAGCGCAAGGCGCCACCAGCTGACACCGGTGGAAGGGGACAATCTAAACGCCCGAAGGTCACGAATGGGGGTAGTAAGAAGTCTCAGCCTTCTCGTAAGGGGCCTCGTGCGCGGCCGGATTTGAACGCCAAGCTTGAGATGCTGAAGCTCATGGACGCCAAGGTCACTCATGAGCAGATAGCGGACCGCTTCGCGTGCTCGGTACGGCTGGTCCGGAATGTGAAGAAAAACCGGCAGAAGCACGAGGCCGAGGCTGCTGCAGGAGGCGGAGGAAGCAAGAAAAGTCTACGTAAAGGCGACTTTCCGGCGGTGCGCTAGTCTACACGCTGCTGCTGCTGTACATATTTTTTTAATTTCTTCTGTTGTTCGCGGCCGGGCCTTTTTTTGTTGTCGGGCCTTTTTTTCGACACTTTTTTTGTTCTGACCCTTTTTTTTTCGTTTAAGTTTTTTCCCCCCTACAGCAGTATTGTTTTCTTTGTTCTCTTCCTTTTTCCTTTCCCTTTGTCTTTTCCTCTCTTTTTTTCTCAACATGAGCTCGTTCCCTTTTGTCTTTTCGTTTTTTCTTCCCCTTTGTCTTTTTTTTCCTCAACAAGAGCTCGTTCCTTTTTGTCTTTCCCTTCTCTTTTCGTCTTTGCGTCTTTTTTGTTTATTTTTTTGTGCTCAACTTGTTGAGCTTGTTCCCTGTGTTGTCTTCCCTGTTTTCTTTGCCTTGGTCTTTGTTTTTTCATCTTCTTTTACGCAACTATCCGGCAGCGTTGTTTCGTTTCGTGTACTGCTGCGCCAGAACAAACCGCGAACCAAAAAAAGAATACATTGCACGCACACTTTTTCTTGCAAGCGAGTATAGAACATACATACACACGTGCAGCGGCGAGCTTCCATGATGTTTCTTGCCTGCAAATTTTTCCTTCCAACTACCGCTGTGCAACGATGCCAATGTTCGAAACTAATCGTTCGATCTTTGGTAACCTCTTATCTTTGTTATTCCTCGTTTGACGGTAAAGGTGGAAGCCATAGCTCTCGACCTACTCGAGAAAGCCCGGAAGGCCAAGATGCCCGTCACACGCGAAGTCCTTCGAAGCTTCGGCCGTTCCGCGAGGGCAACCCTGCTTGGAGATCCCGCAGCTTCTAAGGAGGTGAAGGCGAGGGTCCAGGATTTCAAAGCCGGTGAACGGTGGGCCCAAAACTTCGTGAAGCGCAACAACATCCAGAGCGCGCGACCTCATGGCGAGGCTGGTAGCGTCGACAAGGAGGCCATCGAGGCGGCTATGGAGGAACTCAAGGCCCTTTGCGCGAAGTATTCGGCTAGGTTCATCTTCAACGTCGACGAAACAGGCCTCCAGTGGAAGCTCATGCCCAGGCGCACGTACCTTTCCACCTCCGAGGAGCAGAAGACGGCGCGGGGCTCCAAGGGCATGTTCTTCAAGGATCGACTGTCTGCCATCATGTCCGCCAATGCCGACGGTACTGCGAATGTCCCAATGGCCATCATCGGGAAGGCAAAGGAACCCCGCTGCTTCAAGGACACGCCTTCACCTCTGAAGTACTTCTCGCAGGCCAACGCGTGGTCCGACACCAACACGTTCCGTAAGTGGTGGCGTGACGTCTTCCTCGCGTTCGTTCGGCGCTTCACTCACGAACCTGTGCTGCTGCTGATGGACGGCTGTTCGTCTCACGGTGATATAGTAGATGATCGGGGGCAAGTTACCACCAAGTTCTACCCTCCGCTGTGCACCTCNTGTCCCAATGGCCATCATCGGGAAGGCAAAGGAACCCCGCTGCTTCAAGGACACGCCTTCACCTCTGAAGTACTTCTCGCAGGCCAACGCGTGGTCCGACACCAACACGTTCCGTAAGTGGTGGCGTGACGTCTTCCTCGCGTTCGTTCGGCGCTTCACTCACGAACCTGTGCTGCTGCTGATGGACGGCTGTTCGTCTCACGGTGATATAGTAGATGATCGGGGGCAAGTTACCACCAAGTTCTACCCTCCGCTGTGCACCTCCGTACACCAGCCCATGGACATGGGGATCATAGCCAAGACGAAGCGCAACTACAGGAAGGAGCTGCTCGACGTGAAGGTATCAACCATGTTGGTGGCTGACACCCTTCATGCCGAGGCCAAAACCCGCAAATTGAAGGCCGGGACGATGGGGCTGGCGGCCACCTCACGTGCGGATGCCGCTGAACTTCTCGAGAAAGCATGGGCCAACGTCACGGCCCAGGACATCGCCAGTTGAGGTTTGAACATGTGCTATCGCTGTTGTAAATTTGGATGTCCATCTCGCGCATTGGTACACATAGCTTTGGTGATACGTTACGTGGGTAGGGTTGTGTACGTATAGAATATATTATTTCGACGGAGTATTCCACATCCTGGCATCCCCGTTGTCTCTTCGCTTAAATAGGGTTACGCCGCTCGCATGCCGATGAATCATTGATCGTCACTGGGTTCGTCTAACACCCCTTTGTCCAAAAACGAATGCATTAAATTTTACTGCGCCACCTGGGACCAGGTGCTTTGTCAAAGCCAACACGCTTCCGGAGNTCTCGCGCATTGGTACACATAGCTTTGGTGATACGTTACGTGGGTAGGGTTGTGTACGTATAGAATATATTATTTCGACGGAGTATTCCACATCCTGGCATCCCCGTTGTCTCTTCGCTTAAATAGGGTTACGCCGCTCGCATGCCGATGAATCATTGATCGTCACTGGGTTCGTCTAACACCCCTTTGTCCAAAAACGAATGCATTAAATTTTACTGCGCCACCTGGGACCAGGTGCTTTGTCAAAGCCAACACGCTTCCGGAGGAGATGGCGGCTGAGCTCACCAATCAACATGGAAAGGCCCGGTTCCAGATCGCCGAGCCTGACTTGAAGGCTCTCACGGAGACTGTCAACAAGTTGAGCACGAGCGTGCACGAGGCGCAGCAGCAGGGATCCCGAATCGACGACGAGGACATCGTCGAACTGTTGGCGGAACTCCGCATCGAACCCGGAAAGCGGATCGAGGAGGAAGTGGTGAACGCGATTCAGGGGTGGGCTACTATCGAGGACGATGATGAAGTCGTTGGGGCTATCAGACTGGATACGGTGGACGACATGACGGCACAGCTGAATGGGGTGCACATTTCCATCTTCGCTTTCGCTAGATAGAGCGCCGCTTCTCCGTTGCCACTCTCCTCTGCTGCCGCTTCCAGGATGCTGAAGTAAGGCGACAGTTCACCATACGCCGGTGGGGCACGGCGCACACGCCCCGTGTCCTCATCGCCCCTGTCCTCCTGTTCGTCCTCCTCCTCGCGGCCGGCAGACATGTGCACCCCTGCCGGCCGCGAGGAGGAGGACGAACAGGAGGACAGGGGCGATGAGGACACGGGGCGTGTGCGCCGTGCCCCACCGGCGTATGGTGAACTGTCG